GAAAACCATATAACTAAATAATTTTTTGAACATAAATACTTTGTATAGAAGGAAATGCATAACACCGCCAGTAAAAATAAAATAAAAAATCAACGAGATTTCAAAGCTACTATAAACTTGCAAAATAAAATTAAAATTTAATAGGCAGTCTTTTATAGACTATTATAGCCTATTTCCACCAAAGGCTTAACTGCATTTTAGAGCTCAGAGAAATTCAAGTAACTCCAATATGGGGTTATCGGCAAGGTTTTTTTCTTAAGTTTTGCTTTTTTCCTTTCGTTTGCTTCTACTTAATAGATGCAAGTATGCAAGTACCCCCTTCGCACCTGCGAAAACGGTCCAGAAAAAAATTGCCATTATTTCGTGTGTGTTTATTATCATCTTTTTGGAACAGCAACAAAACAATAACAATTTTTTATGCAGCAATTTAATTGTGCAGTTGGGCAGTTTTATAAAGGAAATATTCTTTATAGAGTTTTTGTTAAAAGCGAAGTCAAGCTCAATAAAATTGTTGTTTTGCGCTAGCTTAGAGTGAAATGTTGCTAAGTCCCAATAAAAAATTGTAGAGTTGAGGAAAAAAATTTCTTGTAGCCATTTTCTTCAAGTATTTCGCAAACCTTTGAAAATAACATTTTGCCGGTTGAAAGCGAAACTCCATACGAATCAGAGGGATTCGATCTTAACTAAAAGATTTCGTACTATTTTGGCCTTACCGAAATTTCGGAGCTTTTTTGGACTTAGCAAATTTTCCTTTTATTTTACCTTTACCCTTTTCGAAACGATGCATTTTTAATTTCTCTAGCCTGCTGTATCAAAATATGAGCTTTCATAAAAAGTGGACTTAGCAACTTTTCACTCGATGCTAGCGATATGTTTTTTCACTTTCGTTTGCTATTTTTTACTATTAAATATGTATGTAGTGTATAAAAATTAAGCAATCACGATTTAAACCATTTGTCAACTCTTTTGTTTTATTTTTTATTTATTTTTTATTTTTTGAAGGAGGAAACCAAACAAGCGCAGTTCCTTTCACTCGCCATCGTTTATTTCATTTCCGTGCTGATGGTGTCCAAGTATCGCGACATATTGGAACCGCCAGCGGAGCCACAAATCCAGCGCCAGTCGCCCGTGATGCAACGTTCTGCAGCCGGTAAGTGTTGCCAATCATTTTGCATTATTGCTTGGTTCTACTATACTTTTGGTATACTTTTTTTCCTTAATTTAATTTTCTTCTCTGTTTGCGGTTAGTTTGTTTGGTTTTGTTTTAGTTCTTACGAATGCACCGAAATTTCAAACACAATTATTTATTTTTATATACTAAAATGATTTTTTTTATGTGCTGAATTAAAATTTTTCTAACTCGATTGCTCCTACTAACAACAAAAAGAAACAAAAAATGTTCGTAGTTATTTTTTACTAATCCAGAGCAAAAAAAAAAAACAAAACAAAACTCACACGAATTTATAACATTATTAACGATTTTATTTCGAGGGGGTAGCTATTGATCGTATTTTAAGTTTACGTAAGTTTATTTTAGTTCTGTACATAAATTAGCGAACATTGTAGACACCATAGAGCATAATTAGAGTTTAGTTAAGTTATGAATTTCTATTTATTATTATTTTTTATATATATAATTTGTATGGTACGTTTTTTATGATTTATGTACAAAATGTTACCCTCTTCTATGTATTGGACGTCAAGTTTACTTGCATATGTTTGCATTGATCAAAAAATTTATTTGTCCAATCAGTCTGATTGATGTTTCCTGAATTTGAAGCCCTTACACAAGTTTTGTTACATTCGATTGATTTTTGGATTTTTTTAAATTTTTTATTTTTATTTTTTTGTCGAATCAGTTTTGTTAATTTCTATCGTTGACAGCCAGTATTGCTAATTGTTATTTCCCAAATATTTTTCTCTCTTTCTCTTTTTCTTTGAACTTTATTTCACGCTGCTTTGTTCGGATTTTGTAATTTAAAAATCAATCAACATTTACCAAATAACCAAACTATTTGGTGTAATTATTTTCGGAATTCATTTGAATGATACTACCATTTCGTAAAAAAAATTACCAACAAAAATATTATGAACATTTGCGAATTTTTATTCGTAACATCCATTGTGTTTTTTATTAAATTTATATATCAAATCGATTTTACATACTTACGTTCGTGTCTTACTGTGAACGCGTGTTATTGTGAATTATCTTTTGCCCATTCACTCGATATTTTATGTGAATGTAACAATGTTTTTATTGATTTGTGTAAACACAATTCGGTAAATATGTATTCACATTATTTACTTTTAAATACACCAACCAACTCCCTTGCACCAAATTTCGGTACATTCATCATCATCGCCATTATTCATCATCATTACCATTACCATTTTTATTACAATTCCCATTGTCATTACCATTACAATTACCAATACCATTACCATTAACATAATTATTGCCATTAATTATACCATTACCATTTTAATTACCGTTACCATTACAATTACCATTACCATTACCGTTACCATTACAATCTCCTCCGCAATTATCCTTATAATCAAAATTTCCATTACCATTACCACCACCAATACTATTACCATTACCACTTCTATTACCACTACCCTTATCATTTACATTACCGTTACTATTTCCCTTACAATTACCTTCACCCTCACCATTACCAATTACCATTTATTATTTATTATAATTATACCATTACCATTTTAATTACCATTACCATTACAATTACCATTACCATTACCGTTACCATTACAATCTCCTCCGCAATTATCCTTATATTCAACATTTCCATTACCATTACCACCACCAATACTATTACCATTACCACTTCTATTACCACTACCCTTATCATTTACATTACCGTTGCTATTTCCATTACAATTACCTTCACCCTTACCATTACCAATTACCATTTATTATTTATTTATATTTCCATCATGGCTTACCTCAATGTCATTACCATTTCAACATATCCCACTTCTGTTGCCTTCGTATTCCATTTCTTTGAATTCTCGTCCCCTCCTAACCCCCC